ACCCTTTTTCACTGACTTATATTTCAAATCTATGGTTCGTTTCCTATAAACAACGACGATCATCATGATGACGATGGTTTTTATGAGTTATTGTTATGAAAAAGATATTTGTTCAGTAAAATAGTAAAGATTTGCCCTGAAGTATTTCAAGTATTTTACCCCGGGGCAAGGGGTGAAAAAAATCGCTAAAATACCCAGGGGTGGACACTCTAGTAATAACTTGACAAGTAAAACAGTTACCCATTTTCTATTTTTAATTTATTTTTTTTTAATTTAATTTTGGTGCCTAAAACTTACTTTTCAATTACTATGGTTAAAATGAAATGTGTGTTACCGCACTAATCGAGTATTATGCACGCACTAATCGAATATTGGTTATAGAAAAAATTTAAGCGCACTAAACAAAAACGCATTAATCGAGGGATCCCTGTACAAGGTTTTAGCAGATGTCTTGAATTCTATACAAACATAATTCCATATTTCCCAAGTTACACACTTTAGTATGTCAACAAATCTATATAATAAGATGCATTGTCTGTTTGTGTGTGTGTCACATAACTCCTAAACCTTTGGTTGCACTGACTTCTAAATGGTACCAAATGAATTGTATTGGTCCTGAGGTTTGAACAAAGGTAAACATTTTTCACCTCACCCCTTGGAGAACCTGAGGATTTTCCAAAAAAACCCTCCTCCTAAACTGCTGGTGATGCCAAATGAATCGTCTTGGCCCAAGATTTACACAAAGGTAAAATTTTTTGCCCAACCCCTTAGGGAACCTTAGTATTTTACAAAAACTTTTTACATGGATTTCCCAAAAGTGGACCCCAAATTTAAACTGATTTAGATTTGAGCATGTAAATAAGTAGGCCTACTAATACCATTTATAACTTTGCTAAAGAAATTAAACTTGCATTATAGTGGCAATGATCATTAAATTGAAAAAGTGCAAAATAGTAGTTCAAGCATTAAATGTGCATTATAGAGGTCCTATAAATGTGGGCCATAGGCCCATGGGTTTGCTGGTATGTTTGTAATACTGTCGCTATAAATATGAAGCCTTCTTCTCATTGAATGATTGGTAAAAATACTTTATCATTAGGGGTACTGTTTCATTAAATGCTCAAAATGCTTGGGTTGTATCAAACATCAAATTGGAGGGCTTCAGTCTGTTAAAGGATTATTCTTTGAATTATCTTTGTGTATGAAAGGTGTAGAGTTATTGTGAGTGTGGAATACCTCAGACAATGCTAGGTCATTGTAAATCTGAATAGTGTAAACCAGCTAGCTATATATTTAGGGGAGAGAGAGAGAAGGTTATGGGTAATAAGCAGCATATGAAGCTGTGGGTTACACTGGTCTTTGACATTTATGGTGATGATGAGCCCAACTAAATTGACATAGAATATGTTATTCATATGAAAGTTTGTCTATGAGAAACTGAAGTGAGTTAA